CAGTCGGATGGGTGGACGTATAGATAAACAGTCGGATGGGTGGACGTATAGATAAACAGTCGGATGGGTGGACGTATAGATAAACAGTTGGATGGGTGGATGGATGGATAAACAGTCGAATGGGTGGACGTATAGATAAACAGTCGGATGGATGGATAAACAGTCGGATGGATGGATAAACAGTCGGATGGATGGATAAACAGTCGGATGGATGGATAAACAGTCGGATGGATGGATAAACAGTCGGATGGATGGATAAACAGTCGGATGGATGGATAAACAGTCGGATGGATGGATAAACAGTCGGATGGATGGATAAACAGTCGGATGGATGGATAAACAGTCGGATGGATGGATAAACAGTCGGATGGATGGATAAACAGTCGGATGGATGGATAAACAGTCGGATGGATGGATAAACAGTCGGATGGATGGATAAACAGTCGGATGGATGGATAAACAGTCGGATGGATGGATAAACAGTCGGATGGATGGATAAACAGTCGGATGGATGGATAAACAGTCGGATGGATGGATAAACAGTCGGATGGATGGATAAACAGTCGGATGGATGGATAAACAGTCGGATGGATGGATAAACAGTCGGATGGATGGATAAACAGTCGGATGGATGGATAAACAGTCGGATGGATGGATAAACAGTCGGATGGATGGATAAACAGTCGGATGGATGGATAAACAGTCGGATGGATGGATAAACAGTCGGATGGATGGATAAACAGTCGGATGGATGGATAAACAGTCGGATGGATGGATAAACAGTCGGATGGATGGATAAACAGTCGGATGGATGGATAAACAGTCGGATGGATGGATAAACAGTCGGATGGATGGATAAACAGTCGGATGGATGGATAAACAGTCGGATGGATGGATAAACAGTCGGATGGATGGATAAACAGTCGGATGGATGGATAAACAGTCGGATGGATGGATAAACAGTCGGATGGATGGATAAACAGTCGGATGGATGGATAAACAGTCGGATGGATGGATAAACAGTCGGATGGATGGATAAACAGTCGGATGGATGGATAAACAGTCGGATGGATGGATAAACAGTCGGATGGATGGATAAACAGTCGGATGGATGGATAAACAGTCGGATGGATGGATAAACAGTCGGATGGATGGATAAACAGTCGGATGGATGGATAAACAGTCGGATGGATGGATAAACAGTCGGATGGATGGATAAACAGTCGGATGGATGGATAAACAGTCGGATGGATGGATAAACAGTCGGATGGATGGATAAACAGTCGGATGGATGGATAAACAGTCGGATGGATGGATAAACAGTCGGATGGATGGATAAACAGTCGGATGGATGGATAAACAGTCGGATGGATGGATAAACAGTCGGATGGATGGATAAACAGTCGGATGGATGGATAAACAGTCGGATGGATGGATAAACAGTCGGATGGATGGATAAACAGTCGGATGGATGGATAAACAGTCGGATGGATGGATAAACAGTCGGATGGATGGATAAACAGTCGGATGGATGGATAAACAGTCGGATGGATGGATAAACAGTCGGATGGATGGATAAACAGTCGGATGGATGGATAAACAGTCGGATGGATGGATAAACAGTCGGATGGATGGATAAACAGTCGGATGGATGGATAAACAGTCGGATGGATGGATAAACAGTCGGATGGATGGATAAACAGTCGGATGGATGGATAAACAGTCGGATGGATGGATAAACAGTCGGATGGATGGATAAACAGTCGGATGGATGGATAAACAGTCGGATGGATGGATAAACAGTCGGATGGATGGATAAACAGTCGGATGGATGGATAAACAGTCGGATGGATGGATAAACAGTCGGATGGATGGATAAACAGTCGGATGGATGGATAAACAGTCGGATGGATGGATAAACAGTCGGATGGATGGATAAACAGTCGGATGGATGGATAAACAGTCGGATGGATGGATAAACAGTCGGATGGATGGATAAACAGTCGGATGGATGGATAAACAGTCGGATGGATGGATAAACAGTCGGATGGATGGATAAACAGTCGGATGGATGGATAAACAGTCGGATGGATGGATAAACAGTCGGATGGATGGATAAACAGTCGGATGGATGGATAAACAGTCGGATGGATGGATAAACAGTCGGATGGATGGATAAACAGTCGGATGGATGGATAAACAGTCGGATGGATGGATAAACAGTCGGATGGATGGATAAACAGTCGGATGGATGGATAAACAGTCGGATGGATGGATAAACAGTCGGATGGATGGATAAACAGTCGGATGGATGGATAAACAGTCGGATGGATGGATAAACAGTCGGATGGATGGATAAACAGTCGGATGGATGGATAAACAGTCGGATGGATGGATAAACAGTCGGATGGATGGATAAACAGTCGGATGGATGGATAAACAGTCGGATGGATGGATAAACAGTCGGATGGATGGATAAACAGTCGGATGGATGGATAAACAGTCGGATGGATGGATAAACAGTCGGATGGATGGATAAACAGTCGGATGGATGGATAAACAGTCGGATGGATGGATAAACAGTCGGATGGATGGATAAACAGTCGGATGGATGGATAAACAGTCGGATGGATGGATAAACAGTCGGATGGATGGATAAACAGTCGGATGGATGGATAAACAGTCGGATGGATGGATAAACAGTCGGATGGATGGATAAACAGTCGGATGGATGGATAAACAGTCGGATGGATGGATAAACAGTCGGATGGATGGATAAACAGTCGGATGGATGGATAAACAGTCGGATGGATGGATAAACAGTCGGATGGATGGATAAACAGTCGGATGGATGGATAAACAGTCGGATGGATGGATAAACAGTTAAATGGATGGATGAATGTATATAAATGGATGGATGGATGGATGGACGGATGGATAAACAGATGGATGGATAAATGAATAAAAATATGAATGATAAAGTTAAACACTCAGATAGATAGATAGATAGACAGATAGACAGATACCTTGAGTTTGGCCACGCAGTAGACGGTGGCTGATGGGTTCTTCAGCTGCAGCCGCTCCTTCAGAAGGTTGCTGCCGTAAGCGAAGTACAGAAAGGTGGATCCGTTCTGCCGGTCGCTGCTGTTGTCCATAATTGAATCTTCAGAGGGCAGAGGGACTAGGAGGATGAGGACGAGGAAGAGGAGGGACAGGGTGAGGAAATGGAAGAGGGACATTTTTGCGTTGAATCAGCTCAGCAGGGCTCAGAGCGAATGAAATGGAAAACACCTCTGTTAACGGAGCTCCATTCTCATGCAAATCCATTGTGTGCCAAAGTCTGCATTCATCTGACACTAACCACTATCAGCAAGAACTTTCCCAACCGTCCCTCTAGTGGAAGCAGCAGAAATTACCTTTAAGCAGTCAAAATTCACCCCTAAAATTAGCCTAAATAATGCAATTTACATAGGTTTCCAATATATTAAGACATTAATAATTTCTTCTGTACGATCTGAATTTCTGCACTTTGAATATTGAATTTGATATTCTGAATTTCTTCTTCATCTTGAGAACTTGAAGCTGTTTTTTTAAAAACTGGATATTTGCAGTCTAAGAATTCAGAACAAAAAAAATCAGCTGTTTGAAAATACATGTCTATAAAACTGCCATAAAAAATTGATTGTTTTAAAATTTCAAGTGTTAAATATTCAAGTTTAAAAAAAATCTAATTCAGAACTGTTAAATGCCACATAGTACTCAGTTTTGTTAAATGACACTTGTCAATAATTCAAATTTACACAATTCAAATTCAAATAGTTTTGTCAAATTTTGAGCTACATATAATGGCGTTGTGAAATGCTTTTGAATAACAGAAATTGACCTGGGGCCAGTTGCACAAACAGTCACTATAGCCCCGTTTCCACCGCAGGAACTTTCCCCAGGAACTTAACTAGGGACTTTAGGCCGGTACTAAGTCCCTGCTCGCGAGGTAGTACTTTTTCAAAGGTCCGGAACTTTCGGGGGCAGGACTTGGGCGCTGAACATGCTGATTGGTTGAGTTCACGCAGCATTGTATTTCAACCATAGACTGTAAAAAAAGATGGACGACGCGTTTCCTATTCCTTCCACTATAGAAAAGTGAAGCCAAAGCATCTCAGCATGGCCGCTGCCATTTCGGAAAATTGTATTGGAAGCGTAATAATTTTTATTTTGACTCAAGTCTCATTCGTTTACATGGAGAGGGCGGGGTTTATGACCTGTACTGCAGCCAGCCACCAGGGGGCGATCAAAGAGCCCGCAGCTTCACTTTTCAAGACGTGTGAGGCACACCCGATTTCAACCACCATATATTCGCATAATTTTTTTAAATATTACTGTTATTGTGTACTGAAATGTAGTTTTAAAAGCGCCTATTTGAAAATGTGTTTAGCTGATTTCGGAGATGTGAGCTCCAGGCGATCAGCAGGTGTTCAGTGCTCATGTATCCCGACGAGAGCAGCCTCACCTCGGCTAGTCCTTCTGAAATTTACCGCTGGCTCTGATGTCTCTGTAGTGGTTAAACATGAGATACAATTCATTTTGGGTAAATCTAACAGGTAATCTTTGGTCTTTATTCTATTAATCTATTAATATGTTAAAATGAAAAGAGGCAATACTGTTTGATATAATATTTCGTTTCATTTTAATGTACAGTACGTATACGTTCCCTGAACTACATTTCTGTGGCTATTAATATGTTTAAATGAAAACGAAAAGAGGCAGTGGTGTTTGATATCATATTTCGTCTTATTGTAAATACAGTGAGGAAAATTGCAGCAGCCAAGGCGAGCTGACTGATGTTATCAAGTACGCTGCTGTTTGCAGAATTACCGGAAAAGCGGCTTATGTAAAGACTTAAGAACTACTTTGACTAACAAGCAGTTAACCAAATGGTAATCAGTCTTGCTTTTTAGATTCAAATTAGACCAATCTACATTTTTATCCAACTGATTTTTAAAAAGTTATGACCAGTCTTGCAAAAAAAAAAAATTAGATGTAAGACTAGTCTAAGCAGTTTATGGGTCAAAGACGAAAAAGGGTTTAAGCATAAAAACAATAAGTGTAATACTGCTTT